CACTCAGCAGAAAAAAAAAAAAAAAAATGTAATATTTAAATAGAATTATGGCTTGATACCAGAGTGTTGATGTGCAATACAGTGAAAAAGGGTCATATCTACATTAATTGTGACCCGTGCTGGCAAAATGAGAACGAATGCGCACGGGCTAATTTTGAGCTACAGGCAAAAAAAGTGAAAAATTTCGATTTTGGTTGAATTTGAGGTTTTCACAAAAATCAGTTCATTAAGCCCTCGTCTAGTGATCCAAGTGATGACCAAATAATAATTAAACATCTAAAAGTATCTTTATTTGTACATTTTTCTGAGAGGAGTACCTTTTCTCCGTTTGCTTCTCGCGCTGAACCGCTGACTGACATTAGAAGCGTCTGCATAAAGACACTTCCGCCAGCGCTCTGTCCCGATACACATATACACAGATTTATAGTAGGCTAAGTATATTCATGCAAACATAATCTGTTATATCTTAAAGGTGGGGTAAGCGATTTTTCAAAAACGATTTGGAAAACTGATTCGGGCCGAATAGCAAAACAAACTTGTAGCCAATCAGCAGTAAGGGGCGTGTCTACTGATGTGGAGCAGAGTTCAGTGCACAGGGGACATTAGCCGAGCCGAGCGACAGAAAGATAGAGATGACAGATAAAAAACAAAAGAGGAAAACATCTGCGGAACAAAAGAAGGCTTAAGGCAAGAAGTAGGACCTGTGTAAATATCGGATCAGCTTTCCAGCGCTGGAGAGAACTCAAGGAGTGGAAGGCCTGCGATCGGACGCCGAGGTTGCTTTGTTTCTTCTCGATAGGTGAGTAACACCGTGTCTGCGCCGCAACAGCTAAAGTCTGTCTAGTACACTGGACGCGACAAAGCGACCGTTGAAAATCATTTGAAATTTGTGTCAATACGTCATAAATAGAACGCAGCAGCAGGTTTCTGTCGGGGATTTGTCGTGTCGTGCCGCATCCAGTGTAGACAGCATCGCTGATTATAATGAGTTCTATAGTATTTTGTAGCGCCGCGCCGCTCGCATCTGGTGTAGACATGGTGCAACATTGGTTTTGCTTTGTTTAACAGAACTAATCGTTGCCTGGGTTGCGTACGTATGTGTGGGGCGGAGCTATCAAAATAGGGGCGAGACCCTTTTGGGGTAGGGGCGTGTTTGTTTTGGTGTTTTCAGAAATCAGAAATCGCTTACCCCACCTTTAAGTGAACGTTTGGGGAAAAACATTGGATGTGTAACATTATATTAGATCCGTGCATTACACTATGTCTTAATATATAGGCCGTCTGTCGCATTAATGTTAATCAAACGATAAAAGAAAAGAGGAAATCACTCGCTGCTCTCGATTGAACTGCTTTTGTAGTTTTAAGCAATTTATTTGTATTGAACACACTTAAGTGATTTTTACATTTTACTATTTGGTTTTCTTACTTGAATGCTTTTGTTTAGATGTAAAATTAAAAAAGTAATAGCCTACAATTTACACTTGTTTCTTTCTTATATTTGTTATTTTTTTTGCATCGGTTCTCATTTATAACAACAAAGATAAAATAAGAAAATAGCTATATTGTGATTGTTAATCTAGTAATGATTATTAAGTAAAGAAGTGGGGGGAAGATGTAATGTTTCTAGGTGATTTCGCTTTGGAACGTTTAGAAAACTTTAAATCAGTTTTTCTCTGAATTTACTTTGCTGACTCTATTGACTTCAAACAGGTGTAGCTCAGTCATTTACCTTAAAATTGTTTTTTAAGTTAACAATTTTGCAGGTTACTATTTTTTTCACAGTGCAGCTTTACTGACTGCAAAAATTGTGGGATTGTTTTTTTCTTTCTTTTTAAACCTTTCTTTTTTAAGTTTTAGTACATAACAGAAAATATGATGCATATTTAAAAAAAGACATGACAATTAACATTAAGAACTTTCCAAGTTGTTTTTGACTTGTGTGAAAATTCTACTTTAATATTATAGCTAATTTAGCTTTTTTATGAAGAAGTTGTACTTGTAAAACATTAATTAACCTACATTCATTAACATTTGGCTTGTCTAAAGAAAATTAAGAAATTAAGTATATTCTTTGGTGATACATGTTTTTGATTATTATTAAATTAAAATGCAATGCTTCAACCAAGTCATAAATATCATTTGAGAAAGAGTAAATTTGGCTGTAACAAAGATAAAGGTTTTTTTTTTGGTCCAAAGCTGGTCCAATGTATTGCTATTGTTATTGTTGTTGTTATTGTTATTGTTGTTGTTGGTGTTGGTGTTGTTGTTGTTATTATTATTATTATAAGCAGCAGCAGTAGCAGTAGTGGTGGTAATAGTATTTTCAGTGTAACATGGCCTGGATCAACATCAATATTTTAGATTGTATTCCATGAAATCTTTCAATTAATGCAAGCTCATAAAAACCTTAAATACTTTTAGGGTTCCATGTCAACTACCTATTTATGTTTGGCATACATTTTGTTTCTCCAGGTAAATACATTTTAGTGATACAAAGTGCATTTCACAGGAACTTAGCAAGCATATTTCGGTACATTCAGTCCTATTTACATATAGTCCAAATTGCTTTTCAGGCTCATAATTTACCAGTTGGAAGGATGATGACATGCTTGTCCAACATTTCATGACGAGTGTTTCTATCTTAATGCCAAATACATGGCCAGCAAACAATCTCCATCTCTGAATGGACATCTGTTGAGAGATTTATGTCTGACAGCTTTATATTTTTGGCCTAAAATATTAAACTAAAAACCATTCAGAACACCTGCAGGGCAATAACTAATGTCAGAGTTTTCAGTGTATTAAACAAAATCAAGTTTTTATTAGTTTCAGCTTCTAAAACTGTCTTCATAATTGGAAAAGTCATAGAATCGAACCTTTTCATACAGTATTTTCAGTGTCCGTTGTGTGAATCACACCTGACTTCAGTATCTGACAGCTAGTTTGATTGTCACTGGACGTTTGATGGACAGCTGGCTTCTCTGCTGTATTGATAGGCATATCAGAGAAGAAAGCCTGGGAATGAAAGGTGGCAAAAAAGATGGAGGTGAAGATTGCATTACTGTGCACCTGCTCCCTCTCTTTGATGTCGCCTCCACCAGCAGCTTAAACCAGATAATTAAAGATAAATAAAACAACGGTTCAATCATTACTATCAGCCTCTCTCTCTCTCTCTCTGTTCCTCTATCTTTCTCTTTCACGCTTCAGATCATTTCTTCTTGAGCTGGTGGCTTCTCATTTGCATGCTTATCAAAGTGTTTTGACGATCCAACGGGAGCTGCAGTGCTAAGGTGGGATCATTAATATGTTAATTAGTCCTTTTGACACTTTGCTTAAGCATGTGTACAATGTGCTCCTCATCCGTGACTTCAGTCACATACTCGCTGGATGTGCGCACACTCCCTAAATACTTACAACAGGCAGAAAAGCAACTAATCAAGTGGCCACTTTTGGGCTAATGGTCCAGTCTACAAAGAATATTGTAATTAGTCTAATTCTGTATTGCTTATATATTTAGGTCTTTTTGTTAGGGAGTAAGCAGTGACACTAGTACCTTAAAGGGATAGTTCAGCCAAAAAATGAAAATGTGCTGTTAATTTGCTGTTCAAAAGAATGATTTGTTTGTGAACCAGACTTCACTGTGGACTGTTTGTCTGAGGATTTGGATTACAGGTAATAATGTTCAGTTTTTTGCACAGAATGATCGTTTCGCTTCGTAAGACTTCAATATATCTTTAGGAGCCACAGGAATTAATTTTGCTGGTGTTTTTTTTTATTTTTTTTTATTCTCAAAATGACGTTAGCCACTGACTTGTATTTTATGAATCACCGAGGACCACGGTGTCAGCTAAGAATCTTCTTTACTGTTCTACTGAAGAAAAAAACTCACCTACATCTTGAGGTGTAAATGTTTTAGTAGAATGAGTCGCTTAACTGTTTCAAAACTGCTTAACTGTTTTGTTGTTGTTGCACTGAACTGCAGTTAAGTAAGCTTTA